AAACGCCCTATCACAGAAAATTTTTCGAGAACGCCCTACTTCAGAATTTAATTGAAAAATGCCCTATTTCAGAATTTTATTGAAAAACACTATCTCAGAATTTGGGTTAAGAACGCCCTAGCTCAGCTGCCCTATCTCAAACGAAAATACATTGAAAATGTGCTGGGATAGGGCGTTTTTGAATCGGCAGTTAAAATAGAGCCTTTTTCAATCAAACTTTGAAATAGGGCGTTCTTCAATCAAATTCTGAAATAGGGCGTTGTTGAAAAATTTTCTGAGATAGGGCGTTTTCGAACTGGCTGCCGAGATATGTAGGTCGATCTTCCACTCAGCCATCGATATGTAGTTGAAATCATATATAATAATTTTAAATATTTTGATGTATTTGTATAAGTAGCACCAAGTGAAGTAAAGAAAAGAAAAATCCGAAAATAGTTTAGTGGAAATTTTGTTTTTATGTAGGTTTTTATGGCGTTACCAAAGAGCGAGAAAAGTTAAAATTTAGTTGCTAATCCCATAAATAATGTTTATTTTTAATGATAATTTGTTAAAATCCTAATCATCATTAATTACAAGTTAACCACCACTTCTTTCATTATAATAATTATCCTCATCATTATCTTCATTACTATTTTCATCATCAACATCAATCACCCCATCATCACTTTTTTAGGTAATTTCGTTATATGATAATGAATACGAATTGTACAGATTTTCTCTTCAACAATTATCTACATGTTAAGCATAGAGAGTAATTTAGAATATATAACCTTTAATAAAAATAATCATCATATTAGCTTGCGTCATCATCACTATCAACATCTTCAACATCGCTCTAAGGCTGCATAATTAACAACTGTTGTGTTTCTTTCGGCAAATCCTGCAATTTTTTTTTTTTGGGTAGTTTTCTCATACTTGATACAAAAGGGTCGGAACTAATCAAAAGTCTATTGAATATAACTTCATTCGTCTTTTTTTTACCTTCCTCTTATTAGCTCGGGATGTAACTATGTAATATTGATGCGCCTAAAAGATGCAGCGATTTCTATTCTCAAGTTACATACCTGATGACAGTACGAATGGCAATTATAATACGGAGGTTTTAGGGTTTTAAACTATAATTTTATTTATTTCTGTTGCACTTCTAGAGCTTTTTCTGACAACTAAATACCTGAACAAGAAAGTTCCATTGCCGTTTTTGATATATCTTTAAAGAAAACTCAGTTATAGCTTGGAAATTTTAAATATAAAATCACGTTTTTCACTTTGGGCACACTCAAAGGAAAAAGTGAAGACTTTAAGAGTATATTGCAAGAAAACGGTAAATTTTTTGGCAAATATTTTATGACATAGTGATGTAGAATTTTATCTACTTTCATTTGGTACTAAAGCCTTCTTTGTATTTTGAAATCCATTTTTTGAATTAATACGCAATATCGACATCAATAACCCCACTGTGAGTCGGTTAAAAAAATTAATACATTTCATTGTTGAACTAAACCCGTAAATGATTTCTGTTCCTAAATAATTATTATTAGATCGCCAGAGAGGGGTATTAAGCAGAATTTTATATTTAGTATGAAACGTTATTTTAATCATAGGCTTAAATAAACGAAATCAAATTTCGTGTAATAAACATCAAACTAAAATCTGTTCACCTCATGTTTAAATGGCACAGTTTTTTATTTTATAAATATTGATACAGAATGCGAAAAGCGCTTTTACTTGACAAAAATCGTGGTACAAATAACTCTGGTTTACAGCAAAAATGTTCAATGGATGCCACTATCTAAATCCTATGTAGAATTGGTCGGTGGTTCCGAAAATCGAGATAATTTATTTCTATGGATACGTTTTTGAGATATTTACAATTTACCGTTATTCAGCTTAAAACACAAAGTGGTTCCAGATAATCACGCATATCTTACAAACCAATTCAATAATCTCAAAATGAGATACGTCAAATCAAAGGTAATGAAATTCTCCATAAAACGTTTATACATCACTTTCCGATAGGGCTGACAGTTTCTGGCAAATTAATTAATTAATACAAAAAATGAAAAAAGTCTAATTTTCACAGAAGAAAAATTTAAAAAATAACAGGTTCTGTGCCAAATTTTTGGATTTGTACTAAAGCCTGTTCTGCTACAAAAAAAATCTAGTTACTAATGAAGGAAAGCGAGGGATAAATAAAGAACTAATGCGTGGTCAAATGAAAATACGCAAAGATTTTTTGTAAGAAAAATGAGCAGGAAAGAAAGTTACTCATACACCACGTACATTGAATAACACGCTTTCTGCTCATATTTCATACAAAAAGTTTTTGCGAATTTTCATTTGGCCACTCATTATTTCTTTATTTATCCATCGCTTTTCTTCATTAGTAGCTTGGTTTTTTTGTAACAGAACAGGCTTTGGCACAAGTGCAAAAATTTGGCACAGAACCTGCTATTTTTTTAATTTTTCTTCTGTTAAAGTTTGATTTCTTCCATTTTTTAATAAAAAAAAACTGGAATGATTAATTAATTTGTCAAAAACAATCACTCCTACCGGAAAGTGAAGCGGAAATTTCCAATCGATTTTAAACTGACTTCCCGACAAGTTAGAGACTTGAAATTTTCAGCATAGTTCCAATCACGATGACAATGCAATTTAAAATATAAATGAATTCCCCATATGGTCCAGGGGTCTTGATTCAAAGATTTATGGCTAACAGAGCGTAATTTGCCAAAGAACGTAAAACCACTATAAAATTGTTAAAGCTGCCGGCGCGCCGCGGCGCACAGTGTATCATTTCCATATTCTAGAAAAGATTAATTACATTATTTTATGTCGCCAAATTTCAAAACAACGTCAAGAATGTTTTTAGAAATACCTGATAAAGACGAAACAATAACAACTAAAAAGTTTAAATCAAAGTGTATGGCGGGACGGGGTTTGATTTGGAAAATTACTTAGCGCAATAATATTTAAACTTGTATATTTAAAACTGAATCTCAATGTTTAATTTGTCGGTGTTATGTGATTTATGCTACAATTGCTAAAATATCATTTTGGTCTTATTTTTTTAGGTATGATAATTTAGTAAACTAGGACTGAGTATTTCATGTTAAAGTAAAACGATGTTGACTTAGACTTATTTTTAGCAAATTATTATATTTATTAGACCCGAAAACTCGTTATCCACCACTATTCGATAAAGTTTGTATCTCAGTTTATTTGCCACTGCTCTTAGACTTTAAACAACACAATTTTAGCTGCTGGAAAGTGCAGGTTTTGATGAAATTTTCTTTTTTCTGGCCTACTGGGAATTTCATTTTCTTCGAGTAATTCATTTGCATTTTATCTCGACCGAGACAAATTCTTGTATTTTTGCTTTGAATAGAGAAAGTCTGATTCATTACATTTCCAATGGTATCCCATTTTTGTAAATAGAGCAAGAAATATTGAACTTATAACGGAATTTTGTTGACCCAACTTTACTTTTTTATCAATATTTTCCACGCCCATAATTAAAAAAATATATTTATTTTTAAGTCCATTTCTATCAGTTTAGAATTCCTTGTTATAGGGAAATTCTAAATATAAATTTTGGGCATTTTAGCCTTTGTAGTTAGCTAAATATTTCAGTTTTTGTATTTTAAAAAATTGCAGTTATATAATAGGGTGGCGTAACAGTAACTATAAATTACCAATTTTTTGTAAAAAGCTTCGCCTATCTTATAACGTACCTTGTGCAAAATTTCATGAATCTATCTTCAATAGTTTTCGAATTACAGAATTAAAAGTAGCTAGATGGGTTAAATCTTACACTGTGCGGCGGTAGTGTAGCAAAGCTATTCCTAGTCTAGATATGAACCTCGTTGTGGGCATCATATCAAGGAGATACAATTAAAAGACTCCAGATGTCGCCCCGCCAGAAGAAGTTAATTATTGCGCCTTAATATATGCCTTGCTACAGCGGAAATGGACGACACGCCATTTCTTTAAATAAAATTAACTGCTGCTATATGTACATATGTATGTTTATACAAAACGTAAGCAAACAACATTTTGCTTGCCAAGTCTTCTGTTCTCTTTCATTGCAAGTTGAATTATTTTAATATCTATTGCAAAATTGTGTACATAAAAAAATAACACTTTTTAATATACAACGCTTTTATAAAAGGACTAAAAATTATAAAATAAATTAATGTAAAAAAAATATTTTTAAAAAACAAGCTTTTATTTAACCTGTACAATCAAAGGAACAAAATGAAGTAGTGTAACAAAAGATTTTTTAGCAAGAAAATTTTGTCAAAACTGCACTAATGTATAAAATAAAATAAGTTAAGGTCTCGTTAAAGCTACTAAAAGCCATTTAGTGAAAGGAGTTATTCAAACTCTAATGAAAATTACTAACAATTTGTACTAATTTACTACGTTTTTAAAAAAGCTTGTCGCCGAATTCAGCGTACATGCATAATTGGTTAGGTATGTATGTTTATGTATGTATGCAGATATTTAAATGCCGGTTTGCTATTCGCGCGACAAGCTTTTTTAAAAACGAAGTAAATTAGTACAAATTGCTAGTAATTTTCATTAGAGTTTGAATAACTCCTTTCACTAAATGGTTTTTAGTAACTTTAGCGAGACCTTAACTTATTTTATTTTATTCATTTTAGTGCAGTTTTGACAAAATTTTCTTGCTAAAAAATCTTTTGTTACACTACTTCATTTTATTCCTTTGATTGTACAGGTTAAATAAAAGCTTGTTTTTAAAAAATATTTTTTTTATACTATTTTATTTGTTTTAAGCTGAATAACGGTAAATTGCAAATATCTCGAAAACGTATCCATAGAAAAAAAAA